CCTGCTAGTATATATAACTCAGCACCAAAATGTTCTGAGATTTTTTCGTTGCACTTTAATTTGTGAAGCTATGACATTTTTGGACATTTTTGGACTAATATTCAGATTACTAAAATTCATAATCTGTGATTTTTAAGGGGTGGTTAAATGCTTCAAAGTTTCCCCAGATTTGCTGCTATTGCTGTGCATATGACAAAAAGGTTATCATGTGTATCTGTTGTAGCGCGATGCGTTACTGTGCCGCGCCGCGCACTCAATGAAGCTTCTCACAGCTCTCTCTAGATCTGAGATCGGCGAGATGCGCTACTGTGCCGCGCCAAGCTGAGATGAATTGACATCGTCAATTAAATGTATATGAAGCTGAAAGAGCTGAGATGTGTTCAGTTGGGGCCGCGTTATCTATGGAGGCGCTATTAGACAGCTGTTTGTAGGGGTGGATTGCTGTTTGCGTGTCCACACCTTTTCCCGCAGTACAGTTGTGCACTCCCCATCTTTTTTGGTCAACTCTGCGATTTGAGCTTTAACTTTTATGGTGGCTAGATCCAAAATGTGGTTTAGTAGGCTTGGAGAGTCACATGAATTGCAAAGCCAATGCAAATTCTCAATTTTGCACATATTTCTATACGTGATTGTCCTTGTTAATGTCCAAAACACAACAACAGATAACTGGTTTTCCTGTTGTTGATTTGAGTAGAATATAAATGTTTATAAATACACTGTCCGTTGTCGAACTGAATTCCAAATGTTTCTGAATCGATTAACAGTTTACAGTTTACAGTACCAAGTATAGTATAGTAGTAGGGAGTCGCTATTTTGTTCTCTTTGGACGTAGTCTGATTGTCTTAGCAGCCTTTGCTTTGAGCTTTGTTTCGAGATCGATTTCCAAATACCTGAAAGGAAATGGGCACTAGAAAAGTGTGATAGTGATTGCCAGCATGAGCAGTGCTGACAAAAGAGCTTTTCTGAGTTTAGATGAATGACAATGACTGTGAAAGTCTTAATCTCAGCTGTGAAATTCACCGTGTAGGTATGAGTTGGGGTGGTTGCTGAGATGAGTGAGTGAGGAACAAGAAAACTATTGTGTATTCTGCCAAACTTTAGTCATGCAACATACAACAATCTGAAATTGTTGTTACATTCGAGGTGTGATGTCCCACTAGGGGTCCTCAAATTATTTGTTATATAGTTATATAGTAGTCTTGAAAGTTTAAAAAAATCTAGATCAATATTCATCAATGGTAAGGTTATTACTGAAGTCAAGGATACCAAATTCTTAGGTGTTGTAATAGATAGTAAGCTAAACTGGATTGCCCACATGCACTACATCCGTAAAAAACTGCGATGACTGGTGCAATCTGTAGAAATCGGTATGCAAAAATGAGACCATAAACACTTTGAAAAGGAGCATACAAATTACAAACCCATTTTTAATAGATTAAAAATTCTTTGGAACGCTGTTCATAAAAAATTTTTAACTTCAAGCAATTGCCTAGAAACTTCCATTAACTTGATAAAATTGAGAACCAAAGCACTATTAATACAAGCACAGGCAGCTGACCTAAAAGATACTTGGACTCCAAACAATTTTAAATTGCAGTAATCTAATCTAATTGCAGCGCCACACACTTACTATTACTATCAAGATTGTACTATAGACTGAGAATCTCATAAATCGATTTTTGGCGCTTTTAACCATTTGTTGTAATGTTTTAAAATATTAAATATCTAAATTTTTAATTGGAGCGAATTAATTAATATTTGATAATTTATTCGGTAGTTTTGTCTGTATGATATTGATATTGATTATATTGATATTGTTATTATTGAATGAAGCTAACTCTAAACATAAATAATATTACTTCTTTTAACAAAGGGACTTGGAGTATAAACGACCAAGTTTGCATAAATTTCTATCCAACCAAGAATTCAGAAATTCAGGAGGCAAAGGTGGGTGCGTAAACCTTATGGTCTGCACTCTCCGATCCTGTATCACCCTTGATTCTTTTCAACGTATCTTTGTAAAAGGTGTATTATACCTTCTAGTCAATATAGAACTTTGAGTACCTCAATCGTTTCTTGTACCATCATCAGTGACCTTGTAAGATGGTCATTGAAGAAAAATTCAGTCAAAACAGTAAAATTTGGTTCATGGAAAGCTGAAATTTGAATATATCCCCTACCGGAAGGACAAATTCAAAATTTTTATTGCATCAAAGTTTTCTCCGGATATACCGTACTGCTTTCAGTACCTTGATGGCGACTTGTGTCACTCTCATCGACCTCACTGATTGGTCATGGGTCAAATTTTCATTCAATAAATGAGCTTAGGGGCAAAAGAAAGAAAACAACCAAGCCACCTTTCATCATCAATAATGAAAGAATCTTGAACCGGAGAGCAATTGCCAATGGTTTTAATTCCTGGTTCGTATCAATTGCTCCCAAGCTCAATGAAACTATCACAACTGACTTGTCTTCTGGTATTCCAATTCTCCCCATGAAAACATTCCATGACTTCCTTAGCCCTAGTAACTCTCGATCTATTATGTTAGAGGACAGCACTCCTGAGGAGGTTCTAAGAATAATCAAAGAATTCGAGAATGGAAAGGCCAGTGATATTCCCATAACCGTTATTAAAACTTCGTCCCACGTTATTGCACCAATTATCAGCAGATACTTAAACAAGCTTATATGTCAAATGGTATATTCCCTGATATACTTAAGACTGGCAGAATCACACCCGTCTTCAAAAAAGGTAATCCAGAAGAAATAGAAAACTACCGTCCTATATGGACACCTTCAACAAGACGTTGTCTCACGTTTTGACTTTTTCTAAATTGATTTTTAGAGTCTTATATAGTCTATTGGCTATGATAGACTCGATTGATTGGTTGCAGAATCTTCATAGCTTTATGACTATGAAATCAAAATCATGCTATCACATAAATTGACAGAGCTAGACCACGTTAAAGTCCAATGATACAAATATCACATTTTCTGAGATGTGATAATGATACAAATGGGTCTGAAATGACCCAATGTTATCAGTTTTTTATGAAAATTTCTTAACATGATGCCTGTCTCCTAAGGAAGCAGTGTACAAAAGGAAATCGTTATTTAGGCTCATTATGATACAAATATCACACATTTTCGTTTCAAAATTGTCCGTTTTATGATGTGATTATTGAATCCCCTTGACCTCTTTTTTCTGTTTCTTTGAACTCAAACTGTACCAGAGGCAATTCCAAACAGAATTAGTAAAAAGTATGATACAAAAATCAACCTCCCGTTAGATGTACTACAATTATCACATTGTATTTTAAAACAACGAAATATAGCTATTTTTCGGGTCCAGTTCTCTGGGTGGCTGTTTGAAGGGTACATAATTCATTAATAAAGATGAAACTTCATTCACACCTACAAAAATGGTAACTCAGTATGGATACAAGGATGAAAAATTGTTCCAACCACTTGAAGGATACAAATATCACATTTTTTGTGAACCAAATTTTACAAGTGTAACATTCGTGATAAATGTATCAATATGGGTCTATAGAACAAGATTCTTTTTGATACATGTACAATAAACATTATTACTCCCTGAACATCTTACACAGCACATCTAGGAACCAAAATAGGATACGAATATCACAATTTCAATTTAAATTATTTTTTATTTTTTTAAATTTTTTTAATCAAGTGATATTTGTATCTGAAAAGTGCTTATTTAATGAAATGCCTATTACTTATTGACTATGTTTAATAATATTGGATGAATTGATCTTCAAAAACAACATTCACACATTATTGACATTGATTCGTGAAAAATATTGAATTTAATGTGATATTTGTATCATTTACAGGTCATTTATTGAATGTCAATCATTACAACATTATTTTACAGCCTAAAGCACCTTGAATAGCATTCAAAAAATCAAAATAGTCCTCACTGGTTGTCATTATAGCCTACCCTAAGTGATGTGTGATAATCGTACCATATTTCGTACATTTAACCATTAATCGCGGTACATATAACACCCACATGCTTCAGAAAGGTTTGATGGTCACATCTATCACGATAACTCACTCAAATCATGTAAGTTCGATTTTACACAGCCATAAACAAGTTTCCCTGTGATATTCTTATCATAAAGTGTACAAATAACAAATTTAGCTGTTTCATGTTGATGAATGAGTGATTATTGTATCCTTCTTGACCAAACTACAAATTTTTGTGGTAATTGGTTTAAAATTGGCCGAGTAATAACTATCACATGGTTTGGCAGTCAAAATTCGAGCATGTGGCAGTCAAAACGTGAGACAACGTCTTGTTGAAGATGTCCATATCCACCTTGTCCATATTTGGCAAAATATTTGAGAAAATCATATATTCTAGGATTGATTCGTTTGTCAGCTCTCAGGGAATAATATCTAAGACTCAGTTTGGTTTCAGGCAATCGCACTCAACCTCCCATGCAGTAAACTACTCTGTTGACCTCATATCTAAGCACATCAAATTGAAGCACCATGTGTTAGGCATATTCATCGACCTCAGCAAAGCTTTCGATACTATAGATCAAGAAAACAACAAATTTTTCAAGAAAACAACAAATTTTTTTATTTAAATCAATTATAGCAACAATTTTAAAAACTTTAAAGTTCTTCTATTACCATGCCATGGAATATACTACAGGTATGGTGACTTGGGCTATTGAGTTGTTAAGTAGATTAAGATTAGTAAACCTGCACTTGCATTGTATTTATAAAAACTAGAAATTAGGCTTCACGGTAAAATGGAGAAGCAGGCTGATCTTGGAGAGAGCAGACCGTAAAGTTTACGCACCCACCTGGGCTACCTACCTACCCCAGTTGTTCTTTTTGGTTTATCATCTTGTTATATTTATGCATATGGACCCCAAGTCACCACACTAAGAAGGAGTATGTAAAAAAATAATAATAAGTTTTAAGTTAATATCATCATCACTCAACATTACTTACCAAACTAGAAAGGTATGGCATCCGTGGCGTGGCAAATGATCTGATCAAGAGCTACCTAACTAATCGATTTCAGTACACTGATGTTGTAGGAGAAAAGTCCGACCTACTTCCAATAAAATTTGGGGTTCCCCAGGGGTCAATTCTCGGACCCCTTTTATTCCTACTTTACATAAATGATATCTCTAATAGCTCTAGCTTGGGATCGTTTGTCACCTTTGCGGATGACACCAACATATTTGTTGTTGGTAAAACTGCACAAGAAGCATATGAACGCAGCAACGCCCTACTTTCAAACCTTCAAACATACATGCGGGCTAACAAACTTCACATAAACATGTCAAAATGCTGCTACATTCACTTTAGACCTAAGTCACGTACTGAAGCAAACGTTGAAGAAGAATTCATAATGAATATAGACAACTACCCTATCAAAAGAGTAACGTCAGCTAGATTTTTAGGAGTCGTCATTGACGAAAATCTAACATGGGAAGAACATATAATAGCCCTAAAACGAAAGCTTAACCATGCCACCTCAACTCTGTGTCGTCTACGCTGCTCCCTCCCAGAATTTCTCCACAGACAGTTATACTACACTCTTTTTGAATCCCATCTGTCGTACTGCATATCAGCATGGGGTGGGGCAGCTAAAAATCGTATAAGCTCAATATTCACTGCACAGAAGTACTGTCTGAGGGTCTTGTTTGGTGATAGAGCAGCCTACCTGGATAAATTCAAAACGTGTGTTCGAACCAGACCATTTACTGACCAGAAACTTGATAGTAAATTTTATAAAAAGGAGCACACTAAACCTCTGTTTAAAAACAACGAGATACTCACTGTACAAAATCTTTATACTTACCATAGCTACATAGAATTATTCAAGATCATGAAGTTTTCTACTCCTATGTCTATGTACGAAGAGTATTCTCGTTCTTCCAGGAAACAAATGCTTATTATCAATAAACCGGATCCCCCAGTCAACCATAACACGAGGTCAACGAAAATATGGAATATAATAACCCCTAACCTTAAAATCTTTGATTGTTCTGTTAGTATTTCTTGCCTGAAATCCAAACTGAAATCTTCACTACTTTCCAACCAGCATTGTCATGCCGTGTATGACTGGACAAATAAAGACTTTGATATTTGTAACCTTAAATTTTCGTAGGCTCCTGCAGGGATTCCACCTGACCTCCAAAATTTCATGACCAAATCGACTTACTCTGCCAGCGTATTCCTCTGTCAAGTTAAATGTGATGTGTGAGTGAGTAAGTGTAGTGTAAAGAGATCCTACTTTTGTATCCAATTTGAATTCTAATAAAGACCCTAAGCATTATGATCAAATTTTTAGTACAATAGTTATACATCTATGATTAATATTATAACCCAATATTCATTTCTTTTTCTCCCTTAAATTTAAACCCCCGGCCCCCACTTAGACATTTAGCCATGATTTAGTATTGAACACCCAAAATACTTACCGTCCTTAATAATCGTAAAGACCATTTGTTACAAAATAGCTGCTAGAATAATGCATGCCAAATATTCCCTCTTACACCCACAAATTATAATACCTTCCTATCAACGCCTCTAATTTGGTCACTAATCAACCAGACTAGCGTTCTGGTGTGTACAAAAGCTACCAGCCAGTACATTCCTTGCCCCGCTAGTTGATAGTCAAAAAATCATACAGCTCAGAACAAACGGCCATTTACCACTAAGAGCATTATATGTTTTCATTTGTTTAAATTTTATGCTGTAAAATGTGCTAAAACTTTGATTATTTGTTTAATTGATTATTTGTTTAATTGAAAAAACACCTCTTCAAAAATCTTCCAAAACCTCTTTTTATATTCTGATAATTTTCCGTTTATCAAAGCTTTCTTTAGATGTTTGAGTAATCAAATTTGTATATTCGTTTTGTTATGCTTGAAGGAATAAATTGAATTGAATTTGAAATTTAATAAAATATAATGTATTTTCGTTTCAGATATGTCGAAGGAGTTTATAACTGGCAGTGTTCTTGTCAACGGTATTGAACACTCAATAAAATGGACTAATGATGAATCAAACAGTGTCTCTATTGAAGCCCAAAACTTAAGAACTGGTGATTTGTGGAGGGCAGAGTTTACAAGTTCGTACATAGAGAATGTAACTCGGAAAACTGGTAGTTTTAAGGAATATTCGGTTTTTCTGGAAATGCTCTCAGATGCTGTTGCTGATAAAACAGATCATGTTTACGTTGAGTTGCTGACCTATTCCGATTTGCTTGCTTTGAAGACTGGAAAACATCTAGATAAGAAAACTTCAGATAGCAAAAGGTATCTAATTTTAACATACAAAGTTAAATATGATACTGTCCACTACCCGTTACCACTACAATATGTTGGCAAAATGTCCCCTACAGAGCTGCAAGATAACGTCACCAAATTACAAAGTGAAATTGAGTACTTAAAAAACCAGATCATTAGTGTTGGTTCACCACAAAAGCAGCAAAAACATTCAGCTTGTTGCAAAGAGAATTCGGAATTGAGAAAAGAATTAGAATCTATAAAAAAACATGGGAAAAAGGATCAACCAAAAATGATACATACTCTTCAAGAGGCCTTACGAAATCTGGAGTCTGATCTTATTCGAGAAAAAAATAAGTATCAGCGTAGTCTGGATAAGAAGACTAGTGAATGTAAGCAACTCATTGAGGAGGTTGAAAATATGAGGTCTGAGAACCGAGCCTTGACTGTGAAACTTCGCAGTGTGACTACGGAGCTTAACATTGCAAAGCGAAATAAGTTGCACAACTATCAGTATAACAGAAACAGCAAGAGTGTCACTCCTGAATCAAGATCTTACCAGCAGAATTCTCGTTCAACCAGCAGGGGTAGGGTAACTCCTGCAGATAGACAGAGATCAGGCAGTGTGGATCGCAGCAGAGACAGTGTGGACAGAAGGAGCAGGGGGAGCAGCATGGAAAGAAGTGTTTTTACCAGGAGAAACAGCAGCAGTAGATCTAACAGCAGAAACAGTGCCAGGTCCGCTCCCGAAGTCAGAACTAAAGCTAGGACTCCCTCGCCAGCAGGGGCTAGATATCCCCGCTTTGATCCCAGTGCATATGTGAAGGAAAAACAGCAGAAGGTCAAGGAGAGCAACTCTCGGCGAGATCGTCAGGCTAAAACAAGAACGTATCTACCCAGAGCACGTTCTACACCACTTGAGAAGCCTAGTCCATCAAACAGTTTATACCACAAACCACCCCCTTCAAACCTCGTCAAGGATATCATCAAAACTAACCTCATGAATGCAAGAGGCAGAAGTGGGAGCTGTAGTAGTCTTGATAGCTGTCGGAGCAATGGCAGTAAAACCTCTCTCCGCAGCAACAACAGCACGACCAACAAAAAACCAGCATCCAGGGGAAATTCACAAAGAAGCAACTCTAGAAACAGCAACTCTAGAAACAGCAATCAGCAGAATAAACGGAGAACCCGTTTTGCATACCCCTCTTCTGGCTCTGAATCTGAAGACAAAGAAAATAGGGGATCAAATTGTCGACAGAAAGCCTATCTGAATTCTCCATCTTATATTACCAAGGGTGATACCAGTCAGTTAAGTTTTACTAAAGATTCTGAAATTGCAGAGATTGATGCCCGGTTAAATGCTTTGCAGTCTTACCTCAAAGAAGCTCAAAACAAACAATACCCTTAGTTTGAAATTTGCCAATCTTAGACTTCACTCTATTAATACTGTTTTACGACTATTAATGCTGAATGAGGTTGAAATTTCACCCTAAAACTTACAGTCCAGTTTGAAGCACTTAGATGAGATTTAATCAGTATACAATGTTCTGCGGATAGAAAAGTTTTAAACAGACTAATTATAATATTGATAACAAATATTTTCCAGAATTTAAGAAAAATGTTTGACTACCGTTGACTGACTTTAACATCTTGATATTATTTGCTTACCGTTTTCTTTAATTTACTAGCTTGTCTTGATTTTGATAAAAAAATAACTTGTATAATATTGTCATGCAACTGATGCGTATTATTCTCCCCATTATACTGAATATTCTATTCAATGATCAATTAATGTATATTTGACCGCTTACAAATTAAAATATTTACCGCTTTCCATAATATTCAAGTCAGATATTCTATTCAGAGCTAAATATACAAGTATTATGAGAATATTATGCTAAGTTACATATAACACATTTTAACGTTACTTTTATTCAGGTATAGTATGTCTACAAGGTTACAATAACCCCAGTCATCTGTAATGTAGTGTGATCAATAACAGTATCAAAACGAACATGTGTTCTTTTTTTGACGTATACAGCTGGTATAGTAACAGTTTCAACTGTGTCCAAGTATCAGGTATCAAGATTCAAGCGAACTATCGCTCATCAATTTGTTCCGTGTTATCTTATCTTAGTTCTCATCTATATCATCATCCTCGTGCTAACATCAGCGACCATTTTTAGTTTGGCCCCTTACTTATACTAGTATTTAAGCGTTTTCTATATCTAAGAAAGTAATTGTGTCGTTATTGTTAAATGAACTAGATTTTTCGGATCTACCGTTTTAGATCTACCGTTACACGCTCACAAAGGGTGGCGCGCAACAGAGTGTGTAAGGCGCGAAGACAATTTGTCATCTAAAGCATGAGTTTTGAGCAGTGTGTGTGATTTTGGCGAACTTTAATTTGAAAATTTTCGCCGGAATTGTCAACAACAACAACTTTTAAATGATTTTCGTCGGAACTGTAACTCAATGTGTTTGCAATTAAAAGTTAAATGTCATAATCTTTAATCTTACCCAAGCGTTAGTAAAGACTGATCCCATACTGATTTTTCTTTAGTTTCCCGCCATTCGATAATCGATTACCTATATTCAGTTTAAGCCGACTTTTAGACAAACAACGCTACCTAATATACTCTATCTTTGTGTTTCTTATGATTCAGGGCCATCGCAGCTGTATTAGTCATCTACTTGTGCTGTAAGCCCCCCAGCCCCCCGCCCCCCCCCCCGCCCACCGCTTCCTCCACCCCTGATTGCCACACTAGGACAAGGTTCGCAGGTGTAAGTCTGCGATATTTATCCGTTTTAAAATATGTTTCGAGAGTTCTCTAATTAGCTGGTAATACCAGCCTAGTATATGCATGGTTTTGTATTAGGAGAAGCTCGGCGATTATATATCAAATTCCCATTATGGTATTTTCTCGCATGTTGCTCTCTCCTCCCCTTAAAAGCAATTATGCCGAGCACATGTCTAATATTAAGGAATATTAGCTCCAGCTCTCCAGTACAGGGCCCCTAATCGTGCCATGTGACTTGCACGTGGACAAGTCTTTAATATGCCGTAAAGCAGGGGAACATTGTCATGCAGTCAGTTGTACTGTGCATTACAGTTTCGTATTTCTTACCCGGTGTCTGTACATTTAGAGCAGAGTGTAGTGTAGTGTTGTAGTGAGTAAAGAATGGCAACTTCTGACGAGGTGAGTCTTCCTTTGTCACGTGCCTTCGCTTCGTGTCAATATATATTACTATATTACATATGCTTTACTTTATCACTTGAAAACTTCTGCATTGAGCTCCGAACCCGATCTGATTGTCAATGTGTAGCTTTAAACTCGATAAAAGAATAAAACAGACGAATATAACCCTTTTTAGGATGTAGTTTGGACGTACTTGTACCCACAAATCAGCTCAACTACGGGTTCAGCCGCAGATATTCCCAAGTTCCCTGAGTACCCACAAACCTATCCCGACTACCATCTTTACTACGATCAGATAGCGTGAGTTGATATTTATGCTTTCTTTTTTATCTTGTGGCACTGTTATGGTTTTCTGTATATTATTGGTTATCTTTGAATTTCAATGTTACCTTGGTTTAGCTCACAATCTGACGACAATTGAAAAACATATTTTGACAACATAATAGCAAATAGGTTCCATTTTGACGATCAAAATTACCGAATAAGTTTAAAGGTTAGATCTCGTAAAAGTATTTCATTTCGTGTGTTAATTTGCTTGACTATGAGCTTATCATATTCAAATTGAATAGCAACGTTAAAATGAATGGCTTTGTAAAATCACATACGAACAAAATCCTTGTTAAACAGAAAATACCAGGAAATCCTAGAAACCAGATATTTAAACCCTGGTGTTCATAGCAACATTAATGGACGGGTCTGAAGAGCGAATGGAAAGGCAAGCAGCAACCACAATTCTCCTCTCCCTTAGAAACTTCCTAAAAGAAGTCAGGGTCAGGCTGTAGATATAAAAATGACATAAAATGTTGAACTGCAAGGAGCAAGCTGCAACTCTGAAAAAGTTTATGTGGAATGGTCCGGGCGGCTCCTCCGTGACATAGGCTGCAGCTATAAGGTAAACTGTGTAGGGAATTACCGAGAGGCAGAACACTCCTGCTGTGAGGGTAACAGTGAGGATTCCTTGCCATCTTAAACTTTCTCGACCTCTTCGTGCAATTCTTCTAGCCTCCAGCAGTAGCATAACCGTTGTGACTATCACTACTATGTTCGGTAGTATTGACAAGAAAACCGACAAAAGTGGCTTCAACCAATTCCAAATCTTTGCTGAAAAGCCATAAATGCAAACATATGTCCTGTAGTCAAACAAAACATCATCTTTATCTACCAAAAGGTACGTCAGTGGTGTGACCAATGCGATGATCCACGCTGCTGAACACAACATGTGGCACTGTTTGTTGGACACAATTCCAGCTCGAAGAGGGAACTTTATCACCAGCAGTTTACAAGAGTTATGAGAGAGATGAGCAGCCATTCAGTAACTCCTAGCAGGTAACCGGAGTGAGCTCTAAAGTAGCACAATATCTCTCCAAATACCCACTTGTTAGCTAATATCGAGATCGTGCTCGGAAGAACGCTTGTGATCGAGAAGAGGATATCACAGACGGCCAGGTGCTGGATCGTGGTTTCAATTATTTTATGCAGTTTAAAAGCTTTGTAGTTCAGTGATCCGACCAGTATTGTACTGTCCCCTACAAGAGATGAGAGCAGGATAAACAGATTGAATCCAGTAAGAATGTATCTTTCTCCATCACTTTTAATTGCAAACGTGGTGTAGTTACTGTAGTTGTAGATTGCCATCTTACACGATTCAGGACTCTGCGCAATATTACAAAATAGACTAACGGAAATGAACGTATAGTGCGGTCTAGAAAAAACTACCCGACATTTTAGTATCCATCTATATCTTCTTACTGAGGAAGTATTCTTAAGAAAGTACTAAAAAGGGCTAGCTGCTCATTCATCAGTTTGGGAGGAATCACATTTCTTGCTAAATGTTAGTGGACCTTATAACTTTAAAATGACATAACACATTTTATATTCAGTAGACAATAAAGAGGGGTAGCGACATAACACATTTTATATTCAGTAGACAAAAAAGAGGGGTAGCGGTACGAATTAAGTTGGACTGGCGAATAAAGCATCAAATTTTTGTTAAATTGTGGTGTATATATCTGTTGGAAATAAAGCCAGGCCATATTTGGAAATAAGAAAGACAGTATTGAGGAAAATATTGTAAAATTCACAAAACTTTGGTCTTAAAGGGTTACAATTTTTGTAAAAAGGTTATCTCTGATGAGCATTACAATTTTAGTCTTAACCAAACTTAACAAAAAATGTTAAATTAATTATCATTTAACAACAAAAGACTAAAAACAGCAATAATAATTATTTATTTGTTTAGCCTTTTTATTGCTGCTATTTTAAAGCCCGATTACTACAAATACTAATACTAATCTAAGCTATAATATAATCTGACCATATTCCAAACGTCTATATTCACGCTAATATGATGTTAAAACTATTGAAACTTAAAAGAATTATCATATTTTTACATAGTATTAGTTTTTTGTTTTTTTGTTTGGTTTTTAAAACATTTTTCTAAAAAGACGATTTTTCTAGCAAACAATAACCTAAAATAGCCAGCTACCAGTTCCGCAAAAATTTTAAATAATAATGTTTACTGAAAAAGAGTATTTACTTAAAACATCGATCATCGACTTGGAAAGAAACTATAATATAAAAACAAGCCATGAATCAATAAGCATGTGTAGAAATATTGTGCACATATTTGAACGCAGTAAAGAAAGCAAACAGAGTTAGTTTTACTGCAAAACATCGTTGGCAGCAACCTGAACCAATACAGATACTATAATAAGTAAAGGTAATAACTAATAGTGCAGTTGTTTAGTGGCTCTTAAAGCTGACTCTCCAGAGCGTGATCCTCCCCTTCTTGCCTCTGAGCTGTACCTAATAAATATTCTCATTACTATTCATATCGGACCTGCTTCAATCTAAAAATAAAAAAACGATCTTATAGGCACCTCAGCGTACAGCTGTTTAAAATCTCTACTTCTAGAATAAAAGCATCGAGAGTCGAAAGTAACTGAAAGTGTATTATGATAATGTTCACAGATACAATAAATCATAAATGCTGCAGCATTGATACTTACCTTGAGAAGTTGGTATTTCCTCAGCCTTGTTCTTTCTCCTCCGACTGCTTGTTGTCACTGTTTAGTACAATAGTGTCAGACTTATTAAATAACGTTAAATTCTTATATATCTGGCTTAGGATACTTTATCTAGCTGTCACTCTTCCAGTATAGTTTTTGGCCAAATGAAAATTTAACGCATGACATGAATTCACAATCGTCATATCATAGATAATGTTAAAGAGAGCTGCCAAGAGCAGAATGTAAAATGTTGGCAATTGCCCAACCAGCAGTTAAAACTAGATTACCTTGATTGGGCGAAGTTCGTGAGAAGATTATATGGCCTATCTTATCTTGAAGAAACTGCTTGAAGCTATTCATGGTCAGACTGTAGATATAGAAGTTGCTCATGATGGTCAGTGACATGATGGTTCCTGCGATCTTGTAGAATTGCGCATGGAATTTTCCCGGTGGGTTTTCGACCACGAATGAAGCACCCATGTGGTAGATGGAGAACGGCAGGAAGGAAACTGTGAAGACAGTAGCAGTGAGAACCACAGTAAGAACACCCTGCATCCTCAGACTTTCCACTCTTCCAGCTCTCTTGGTTACCTTCCTAGCCTCTAGCAGCAACATCAGGGTAGTTATAATAACGAGAATGTTGGGAATTATTCCGATAGTAAGTGAGAATATAGGGAGCAGAACTGACCACAAGGTATCTGTGAAGCCATAATCACAGCCATACGTCCTGTAGTCAAAGGATACATCATACTTTCCAATGGCAATGAAAAGGACGGGCATATTCAATGAGTAGAGCCAAATGACTGCCGCGACGAGATGAGCCCTCTTTGCCGGCCATGATGCAGCCCGAAATGGAAACTTGACGATGATTAGCTTTGTTGTGGTCATGGCCAATATGAGGTAGATACTTGCTGGATAGCCAAAGTGGGCAAAATAAGCACTGATGATGCACAGAGCGTCTCCTAGAACCCACTTATTTGCGATCAATGACACTAAATTGGGGATAATCAAGATAGTAGATAGCATCAGATCGAGGGCTGCCATGTGTTGCATGATTGCAATAATCATGGGATGAAGTTTGATGGCCCTGTACTTGATGGACCCTATCAGAATGAGGCTGTCGCCTATAAGTGATGAAAGAAGCAAGAAACTATTGAATACTGTCCAGGTGTATCTAGCTGCATCACTCTGTATGCTAAATAGCTCTATATTTGAGAATATAGAAGTATGCATTTCAGCTTCATCCGTATTTGTCTAAGAGAAACTAAGGGCTACCGTATTTGTCTAAGAGAAACTAAGGGCTATAACTGCTACAGCAAAGTTCGCAAATTGTGAAAGTAAGTTAGTTTGCCAATCATTTTTATTTAGGTTGGCGAAGGTTTTGCTCAAGCTTCTACTCATTGTTCCGTTTCACTGAATTTACAACTTCCAATAAGAAAATGTTGCTATAAAGTAGTAGTTGTAGTAGCAGTGTTACTATAATTGCGCTTATGGTTTACAGGTCAAAAGTTGGAATATTATATTACAGGGTGACTCAACAGTCCGGCCATGATTTGCTTTTAGAAAAATGAATCTTATTCTTGTGAAAAGTGTGATCTACTCATTTTTCTGTTTGGAAAGAAAGCCATCCCGTATTAGAAGTTGAAACGTCAATTCATTTGATGATGCGTTACTCAGCTTTGAAATCCAAAACATTACCACTTTCTTAACATGAAGGCGTGCCTATACTGCACCGAATGGTAATGTAAATGTAATCTACAAAAGAATATAATAAGGTTTTAGATCAAAATAACTACTACAAGAACTTCGACGCGGTTACCGCACGAACGATCAAGTTTCTCTACACCCTAGTTTTACCAGTAATTATCTTTAATAATTATGGTTTGAAATAACATTAAAATTAAAAATAGTTATGCCTATCCGACATCTTTAAAAACATTAATACGGTATCATGGAAACTGAAGTGAGGAAAACCTCGTTAGACAAGTTGTTCTGGTCCATAAATACAGATGGACTTTATTAGTATGCGAGACTTATGTACTATGATGAACAAAATAGATCGTACTAAGCGTTAGGTCATACTCAGGGAAGAATATTTGAGCCATTCAATTCAAGTATCACTGATATATTTGCCCGTTAAAATTATAATGCTAAAATTTGCTAGCACAAAAAGATGCCCAAGTCCTGTTCACATTGTTACCTTGTAAATTATACATATTTATTCTCGATATACATATCATACATTATAGTTAGATCCTAGACATTAAGGTTAATTATTAGTAAAGTAACCTCTTGATTAATTGTACATCATTTTGGTATTTAATATCACTATCAGCTTTTTTCAAACATCTCCCTTAGTTCCAGATATAAAAGTAACACAATTTATTTCAGGATGTCACAAGCAGATCCCACAGCGTCCACCTCCATCCTTCACGCGGACACACCTTCATGGTCAGAGATAGACGGAATCCTCTCCGACAAGTACAGATCAGAATCAGATCCAGGTCCGGAACCTGCTCCAATAGCTACACAAAGTACCCAGGAGACTGTCATTCAGCAGCCTCTCACCTCTCAAACATCTCCGATGCTTGCTTACTACTCTCAGCCTCAATTTAGAGAGAGGAGTTTTGAAGATGGGACCCCATTGATATCATCTTTACCCTCTAGAATCGCCAATGTTGAAATGTCGACACCTCCTCGACGTTCCTCGTCATCTGAAGCCAGTTTTGGGTCATCACAACGTGAGAGAATCGCGAGGTTACGCCGAGAATTGCTTGATGAAGAAGAACGGGTCATGGCCAAATCTGAAAAACTTGCCCTTAGTATGCGGGATCATGCTGAAAGTGCACTTGGAGAGCCTCAGCCATCCGCATCAGTTACTACATTACATTTGGATTCGTCACAACAACTGTCTCACTCAATTTTCGATGAGCAGTCACGAGCTCGACTCAAGATAGCTAAACCTCCCTCTATTCCCTCGGACCCTGGTTTTGCTGTCAACTCTGTTTCTGTCGATATCACTCCGCTTACAGAAGATCTGCTGATGAACAGTCGTCTTGAAAATGGACAAAGTGTTAGTGACGGCGGTCAAACAATATCGGATGGACAATTTCCATATGACGATGACGACATTATTTTTACTCCTCTATCGGACGATGACTTTGCCAATGCGTTTGCTACTCCTCCAAGAGTTCAGAGGAAGTTAGATAAGAAGGTACATAGACCAACTCCCAAACGTAGCAAAGTTCAGCTTCAAAGTCATGGTAAGGTTATTGGAACCACTGAGTTAGGTTCATTCGATGAGACATCGAGCTTATCAATCATAGATAAAGATAATCTTCTAAGCCGATTTAAGGATTCAGTGAAACCACTCCGACGACATGCTTGGAGTGACTCAGAAACTGAAAACTCGCTTTCAAAATCACTCAATAAACATCAGTTTTCTGAAGTCAACTCGAAACAAGAGCAGCTACCCTCCCATGCTGAAAGAGTACTACCGGAGTTACCCTCGGCCGAAGATAGACCAAGAAGTGCATTTGCAGTTCTTAGTCCCCACGAAGGCAAGTACCGACCCTTAACAGCACCGTCCTCTGAAAAAGTTCTCAAGTTTGATGTTCCTTATAGTACAAGATTTTTGTCAGAACCTCAGATAGTGGAACAAAAAACATCTGAAACATCTCTCGACACCAACGACTACCCCAATCTTCACAGCAGCTTTGTTTCACTTCAAAACACCATCATGTCCGATATTGCGGCTCTCAGAAGAGAGATTGTGGATAAGCAAGAGGGAACTGAGAAACTGAGATCGGAGTTTTCTGACTTTAAACATGCGTACTACAGGTCTGTCGTTGAAGGCCAAGTAAAGACAAAACAGCTCCAAGATGCCAAAATTCAAACTTCTCAAATCACTACCGAAAACAAAGAAAATGCAGTCCATCCTCCGAGAGTAGCAATAGAACACAAGGATACCTCTTACAGTGAGTGTGACTCAGAAACAGACAGACAGCTTGCCACGCTGAAAGCTTTACAGCGCTCACTGCGTGAGCAAAGCAACGAGCGGTACCTGAGAGATCTCGAGGAGAGAATAGACGCTAAAGCTGCTAAGACTGCTGCTACTTTGTCTGCCCCTCCCAGCGTGGACAAGGTAGACAGGATGCAACAATCATCTCCCGCTCATCTTAGTAATAGGGCTATTCAAACTGCTCCAATCAAAGTCAAGACGACTGCTGACGCTAATTGCAACACAAGTGATGTAGAAGCTTCTAGACCCAAGATTAGAGGTGGTAGGAACAGTTCCAAAGCAGCAAGCTCTGAGCATGTGCGGGCCAAGTCTAATTCTGAGGTGGATAGCAGACCAAAATCCCCATATCAGGTTAAATCGAAGGTGGAACTTCCTGCACCATCACCAAAACCAGCCACACAGCAGGTTGAGAGTGGAGATAGTTCTCTAGACTCCACTGAGGTGGCCACACGAGACCTTTTTATGGAGATACTTCGCAAAAAAGCTGAGATGGACGAAAATGAACAGGAGCGAAAGAGCAGGCAAGAGGAGAATCACATTTCCACAAAAGACAAACAGACATCTGCAAACGATCTTCCTAGTTCCACTCCTAAACCAGGTCTCAAAGCTGGAAAATCAACCTTCACCTCAGCCAGTATGGTATCTGGGGACTCCACCCTTACCGAAGGAACTGTTGTAGTCGAGGAGGACGTAGAAGCTCTTAATGCTCTTTGGAGTGAGTTCATGAAGTTTGTGGTACAGTCTAGAGCTTTGAAACAACACAAGAGCAGATCCGCATCAAGGAGGGAGCCTTGCATTCAAGTTGATGTTAAAAAGCTTGAAAAAATGCACAAATCGTTCAACCAGGAGACTTATAGAAAAGGTGTAAATAACCAGGCAGCAAAGAAAAAGAATAGACCCTCTGGGAAAGTCAAGGGTAGAAAAGCAGTCGAGAAAAAGGCTCCTGAAGTATTTGAACTGAGTGCCGGAGAACTGAAACATCCAAGGAAAGCAAACCTGGACGAAACTTGTACTAATCGATCAATGGATTCACGGCAAAACCGAATTGACCGACTAATCAGAGAGGTTGGTTTCAATTTATTGAATCTCTGCTGTTGTTTTCCCAAAATATTGGATAAATCCTATTTTTAGAGTTTTGTAGATTACTGTTTAACACTTTTTTATTACATCTCAATATATTGCAAGGCATTATAATCTAGATTGAGGAGGAGCGAAGAAAGCGTGTCGAAGAAAGGGAGGAAAAGATAAAAGAGAAAGAAGAGCTGATACCTATCGAGTTGGACAGTTTCCCAGTTCGAGATCACGAGGAGATAAAGATGCCTTCCCCAGCTCCAACTTCACCTGCTGCTCCCGTTAAACAGAGAGTCAAATCTCCAGTAGCTTTTGAGATAAGGTCAGTCTGTAAATAATGTTCTTACTAGATTTGTCGTCGCCAGACAACTGATACAATTTATTATTTGGTCTTAGTTGAGACTCTGCAGTGTGCAAGCTCTAACATTTTAACTGTGGTGTAAATTAGCCTAACATAATGTCAGTTGTGTATTTAACGTTATCCAAATTCCTCAGTCTGGACCAGGAATCTGTAACCAGTGAAGATGTGGATAGAGCTCCGGGCTACCCAAACATGGTGTTTAAAACCGGCAAACTCCAAGATGCATTCCATGCTTACAAACAGCGCTTTATTAAGGTACAACATTTTATAAATTTAAACATACCAGTTTTTACCCGGCATTTTAATCGGTAGCAATATTCCTTTGTGATTTGTTGTCCAATGTATGAGCCTTACGGCTGATCACCAGCTCATATTAACAGATTATTCTTAATATCTATGCTCCAGCTGTTCACAGTTCTCTTTTCTCAGCAATCCCGGAGACGGGCCCTGTCTATACAGCTCTGTAAAGAAGCTAGAGAGAAATATGCAACCTCTACACCCCCGGTGAGACCGAGACCTACTATTGACGCCAGATACTTCGCTTCTTTTGATAGTATGTGACTCGCCTTTTGGTATTTACTTACTAAATAATTGTCGTTCCATAGGTTTTTGTTGTTGTCCGGGTTGTACTATTTTTATGACTTGAGCCGATTTTATCAGCAGATAAATTCGTTACAATTTCAGTTCCACCACCTGCACCAAAAAATAGAATAATCTCTCACAAAGTTATGACAAGAAACTCAAAAAAGTAAGTGAACCGTCAGATGCAGAATATACTATTTCTATGAAATTTTTCAAGATTTAACATTCGTCGTTGTAACAACAAATCTGTAAATATCAAGGGCGTTTGTTTTTTTAAATTAAAGTACGTAATAAATTTACCAGAACAATAAATTATTTCATTATATTGCTAGATAGATAATAGCAAAATACCGCAGGTTATACAATCGGCTAGAAGAGGTACAAAAGAAAAAGAAGGACACTAAAGTACAGCGAGAACGGGAAACTTATAGATTGAGGGCCCAACTTTTCAATAAGGTACTTCTTCACTTCTATCTCTTTGAATATATTTGGTCTTGAACGTTTTCGTAAAATTGGGTAGACGCTGTGTAATGGTAAGATCGCCGATTTGGAGTGAGCAGGCAGACTAATCAAAAAATAAATTGAAAAATTGGGTATCATATAAAATACATAACGGTCGTTGTGTGAAAAGAGAAATATCTACTGTCAATGAAACTTGATCATATGATTACAGTGCATATCATATGATTATCTTGCATTCAAATCTCATCATTAGGCGGGCTTTATTAAGGCCATATCTCATCATGAGACGGGCTTTATCAAGGCCATAAATTAGGCGATCTTGCTCTGTGCAGCATTATTAGTTTACCTAATTGTGGTATTATTGTATAGTGTATACCAGCATATTATCATGGACATCAGAGTAGAGCCAGTGTGGAACCTTGCAGTTTCCGTTTTTTAACTTGACCTAAAATAGGGATGTTTAGTAGTCCGAGGAGGCACATCTAGCTGACTCTACAATTTATTGTACGTGGGGTGGGGTTGCAACTACTTCCTATTTCTTCATGTATCCCGTGTCTCACTTGTTGTGTTGTTGTATTTTTCTTTTAGTCTGAAGTGATCGTTGATATGAACAAGTTCTCTTGGGCACGCCAGGACGAGCTCTCAGCTCTCAGGGGAACTTTCTTGTCTACAAGGATTTCTATATTCTCCTACATTTAAAAAAGTAATCGCCCTGAATGTTGGTAGCAGATATTGTTGGTCATGCAGGATGTGTCACACTGGTAACATTTGCTATTACTCTGCTGTACAGTGAACTGTATACTAGATCAGTGCTAACATGAGACTTATGAAAACCTGTATTCCATGAGGTCATGTTAGTGTAGGGTATAATAGTAGACATTCCTGAGGTCATGTTAGTGTAGGGTATACTAGTAGACATTCCTGAGGTCATGTTAGTGTAGGGTATAATAGTAGACATTCCTACACGTACACGTTTGCTGTTGTAGGGCAATAATAAATATGATGAGATTTTAGAGTTCGTTTTAGGTATACCCTCCTCAAGTCACAGGTTTTGTTGGATCAGCTTATTGGCAACAGGAGCTATGTGCTGCTATGTGCCATGCGTTTGATACTAATACCTTGGAATTCTGGCGTAGAGCTGTTATTGATAGCCCTTATATTATTTTTAGCAGAGTTTAAAATGTTCTACGAGGGTGAGAAGAGGTATAATTTAGGAATACTAGCAGGAACCCGTCTACCCTAAAGTGGTGTCAAGACTCGAGAGAATAAAATAATTATTACCTATTTAATTCGCGTTTTTGACACCACTTGGGAGTCCAAATTTTGGGCACTAAAATTCTTATTCCTTGGCCAATTTTTAATTTTTTCATGCTGATTTGAAGGCCATTAAAGCATTTGACCCAGTCAAAAAAGTTTCAGTTGTATATATTTTACGGTTTTTGCGGAAAGTCGCGTTAAAGTTGATGCCCTGGTGTCAGTAAAACGGATCCATATATCCATATATATCGTCTCGCTTTATATATAGTAAGATGTCCAGGCTGGTCGGTTTAACAATTACGAAGATATCTGGAGCCTTTTGTCCACCGTATGTATTTGTAGTTTGTACGTGGTCTAGAAATGCAATACATTCTTTTGAGCATTTGTATGTATTTGTAGTTTGTACGTTGTCTAGAAATGCAATTCATTCTTTTGAGCATTTGTATGTATTTGTAGTTTGTACGTGATCTAGAAATGCAATACATTCTTTTGAGCATTTGTATGTATTTGTAGTTTGTACGTGGTCTAGAAATGCAATACATTCTTTTGAGCATTTGCATGTATTTGTAGTTTGTACGTGATCTAGAAATGCAATACATTCTTTTGAGCATTTGCATGTATTTGTAGTTTGTACGTGATCTAGAAATGCAATACATTCTTTTGAGCATTTGTATGTATTTGTAGTTTGTACGTTGTCTAGAAATGCAATACATTCTTTTGAGCATTTGCATGTATTTGTAGTTTGTACGTGATCTAGAAATGCAATACATTCTTTTGAGCATTTGCATGTATTTGTAGTTTGTACGTGATCTAGAAATGCAATACATTCTTTTGAGCATTTGTATGTATTTGTAGTTTGTACGTTGTCTAGAAATGCAATACATTCTTTTGAGCATTTGCATGTATTTGTAGTTTGTACGTTGTCTAGAATTAATGCAATACATTCTTTTGAGCATTTGTATGTATTTGTAGTTTGTACGTGGTCTAGAAATCCAATACATTCTTTTGAGCATTTGTATGTGACTTGTATATCGCTGTACAAGGAGTATACGTTCCAACTTGTTGCTTGTTTCGTTTGAACATTTGTAGTTATCTTTGACATTATAACTAGTTGTGTTTTAATTGTATAGATTCGTTTTAACAAGGTATTTTTATTATTATACCTTGCTAGTTATATTGTATAAATTTATTGAAAACATTGTGTTGAAGCTATAAAAATAATGATTTCAACGTTTCGTCTATGAAAGGAGCATGCACATGTAGCTGGAACGTCGACAATATTGTGTGATGTATTGAGTTTTAAAGGGAGCGGAAACTCGTGGGCTGGTCCATTAGGGATTTGATCCGCCAACCAACCAATCATTTAACAATATCAGTCTAACACATTGTTTTTATAGTTCATGTAACAACCTAAGCTATATACGATGGTTTCAATGAAGAATCTGGTCGGTGCAGTGGCTATATGTGTGATATCAGTGCTGATGTACAAGAATCTCTCTAGTACAGTGTCCGAGATACCACGAGGGACTGTGATTCTAATATGTGGAGCAAGCAGTGGTATTGGAGAGGAACTTGCATACCAGGCAGCTGAAAAGGGAGCTTACTTGGTTCTAGTTGCTCGATCAGAGGACAAACTTCTCAGAGTCCAAGAGCAGGCTCTCAAAAAAGGAGCAGCAGCAGTTGAGGTTATTTCTTATGACTTTTCTAATGTAGTGGGAAGCAGTATTGTAGTCAACAAAACGGTGGAAAGGTTTGGAAAACTAGACTACCTCGTTCTGAATCATGCAGCCTTCCCGTTAGGACCCTTCTTGGCAAATCAATACATGCAGGAACCATCCTACATCGATAGAATCTTCAAAGTTAACTTTTTTAGCATGATTGAGATAGCACTTCATGGGTTGCCACATCTGGAGGCAAGTTCAGGACATCTATTTGTAACATCGTCTACTTTTGGAGAAGTTCCCATTAATTATGCGATGTCGCTTTATTGCGCCTCCAAACACGCGCTGAACGGATTCTTCTACAGTCTGCAGCAAGAACTGCTAGCTAAGAAGTCTCCAGTCTCTCTAACAATCGGAGCCCTAGGTCTTATCTGGACTCCAGACATGGAGAGTCTCTGGAAAGATGATTCAATTCCCGTGGATTTAATCGCTGGTACTATGGAACGAGCTGCTAAAGAGATGTTGGACTCGTATACCACCAGACCTAGAACTCTGACATACCCGGCTTTCCCTAACAACTTCATGAGGGCGAGCTGGTACTTCAACCCCTGGTATCAGGAATCAGCTGTGGCACAAGGAGATCAAGATGGGTATGAGGCCGGTTTAGCGAAGTGGGAGAAAAAGATCGAGGTAGCTCGTGAGAGACGATTCAGTCAGGGCTACAGTGAAGTGAGCAGCGAACAACCAAGTGTGTAACATTTCGACATTATTGGAAATAGTTTGTTAGATTATAACTTGAACTCTGAACATGACCCTTATCACTATGGTCATAATAAGTCCGTATATTATCATTATTTTGTTAACTGTATTATTATTACCCTAATATAATGCACATATTTTAATTTTTATTAAATGCTGACCCTCTGACGTGAAATAAAATTAATATTTTAAAACTTTTGCTATTTTATTTGTCTTGTATTATGAAGTATTAAATATTTCACAAAAATATAAAATTATAAAAGAAATTATTGAAATGGGGGATCCGGTTACGTCCATTTACCAGCTTTCAATCTCAACTCGTGACTTGGTCCGGCTAGGAAATTAAGTTCAGACTTTCAAAGAAATATTATAAATCACGGAGTATTTAAACCACCATTTATTCGAAATCAAAGTATTGGAATTTTTGTAACGAAAAACCCCGGCCCCTAGTTAAACTAAGAGTCTTCATGGCCCCGCCAAGGATCTCACCCCAGACCGAACAGTGACTCTGCTCTGGTGCTCAAGTTGAGCAGGTTACCAACCGGAATGAAGGACTATTATTCGCTACAACTATCATTATTTGATTATATGAATTGGGAAAGATTTACATTTACGCTTTGATAGAATGCGGCAAGACGATCCATTCGTTTTCATCCCAATTTTCCTCAACACTAACTGTTAAATATGATGTTAAATATAACATTAAATAAGCTGCATATCTCAAGATGATCGCAGTTTTACCTTATTAGATTAAAAGAAAACGACACTAGCTCCGATGTCCGATAATTATATCTCTAATTATTTTCCGCAGTCTGTGCGGCGGTCTGTTATCGTACGATTTCCCGCTTACAGTGATCATTCGGTATGACGGTATTACCAGACGACGAACTAGTATCGCAGTGTTGACTATTATAGGACTATACATACTATAATATAGACTATATAGACTATGTAGCTGCGAGATAGCTTCATGAAAGTAGTTGTAAATATAAATTACTCGGTCTGAATGTTCCGCTCGGCTTGGTTTGGTTTGTTTAGAATTCCCTGCTCGTTGCCTAATGCCTCCTCAATGGGAAATATTTTATTAGCTTAGCTTTATATTAGTTTAGCTATATATTAGTTTAGCTATATTATATATATATTAGTTTAGCTATATATTAATATATTGACGAGCTTTTATTGTCATATACCGGGCCTCATTTTGATATTCTAGACGTGTCGTGAAGTAACGGTAAAACCCAAACCAGTTTAACGCCAAACTGAATGGTTGACATTAGACGCTCATGATTATATTGTCACCGGTAAGTCAAGCAATGTAATTAAAAGCTTGGATTTACTTGATTACGGTAAAATTTCTATTAAAGTTCTTGAATTCTGTGTAATTCAAAGTCTCAACACACTTCCGTCTTCCATACTTAAATTCCACTTAATACTATATTTTTAGAGGAAAATATCCATGAAAAGTACAGGTAATTGCCTAATTATGAAGAAATATGGCCAACATCCATCCGAAATTATTTTCAAACCAGCTTTAGAAGAAATTAGAGTTATTATCCCATTTGTGATGTAGGAAGTTCGAGATAGTTCAAATAAGAGCTGGTCTGGTGAGAGCCCAATTAAATTCATCTGTGGATTCGCGGTGATTCTAAATTACTCTCCTAGACAGTATCTTTCTTATTCAATAATGTGGCGAGATATGGACCGTCCCATTTTTAACTGCCACGACTCCCGAGATCTGACAATCTCACAGTGTTTCAGTGTTTTTGGGGGGACCACAGGAAATTCAGCCACCCTGGTGGTAAAATGTTATTTTGAGTCCTCGTAATAAATATTGTTACGCTCTTCCGTTTAATGTGTCAGTGAACTCTAACTCTGTAACTCAACAAATTTGTCCTAATTTCATGTAATGAAACCTAAAATGAGTATTACGTCGAATTTTGCGCCCTGATCAGCGGGTCCCTGTACTTGTAGTCACCTTTATGTTTCTGTGAGATTCTGGAGAGGTTCGTTGTTTATCAGTCTCATGATTAGATAATGATTCCAGGGATAATATCCGATAGTAGAGACTAGGTAGGACAAGTGAAACTACTCCTAAACAGTAAACTAAACTCCTAAACAGTAGTTTCACTTGTCCTACCTAGTCTCTACTATCGGATATTATCCCTGGAATCATTATGTTTCTGTGTCCGTTTTATCTGTCTTATCTCTACTATTACAGTTCTTGGTAATGGACGACCACCACTAGGATACGTGTCACCAGTTACCAGTAACAACTCATCAGATTGTGATGGATAGTAAATTTAAATTTGGTCCTATCATTTTTATAACCCGGTTATTGTCAATATTTAAACTGATTTCTGATAACGCTGCTTATCTTTTAACAGAAACACAATGTTCTGGGTGGCCGATAAGAAGTTTGTTATGTACATATATATAAATTTGTATATATAATATTATCACATGGCACATTTTAGGATTGAATTAGTATTTTTATAAAAATGGTCATTGTACTTGTAGTTGTAGCGGGTAGCCATATATTTTAGATTTTCATCATCATAGTCCTTGTCCAAAAATATCCGGGTTTCAACTCTATCAATTTTGATTAATTTATCGTAGGATCCTTAAGGGGGCCGGGGGGGGGTCTTCATCAAAATTCTCTCGAAATTGATTTTATAGTTGTTTCTGATAGAGGGGAGTGATATCTACCAGCTGCTTTTGGTCCCATGGAAAAATATTGTTCCTAGCCGGAATTATCGCTGGTTAAAGGTCAGCGCTCATGTGTAATTGTATTGCGCGAGCGATTTTCAATCGCGCGTCCTGAAAATCGAGTCTAAAAATCTATCTTCTCCTACATTTTTTGAGCAATCACCCTGAAACTTTCAGGATATGTTCTAGGGATCATTTAGAAGAGAAGTATCGAGCCGAATTTTGAGATAGGCCTCAGAAAATTTTTAATTCGATTTTGAAAATCTTGGACCTCATTTTTTGACGATTTTTCCAGGTCCAAGATTTTCAAAATCGATTTAAAAATTTTCTGAGGCCTATCTCAAAATTCGGCTCGATACTTCTCTTCTAAATGATCCCTAGAACATATCCTGAAAGTTTCAGGGTGATTGCTCAAAAAATGTAGGAGAAGATAGATTTTTAGACTCGATTTTCAGGACGCGCGATTGAAAATCGCTCGCGCAATACAATTACACATGAGCGCTGACCTTTGACCAGCGATAATTTCGGCTAGGAACAATTTTTTTCCATGGGACTAAAAGCAGCTGATAGATATCACTCCCCTCTATCAGAAACAACTATAAAATCAATTTCGAGAGAATTTTGATGAAGACCCCCCCCCCGGCCCCCTTAATTAATAAGATGATTGATATGAGGGCAAGAGGGCTGTGGTTGAGTTACGACGTCAACCGAAATAAATTATTGTGCTATAATTTGTTGGCTGCATTGAATAAATTATGGACGCAATACTTTTTAGAACTCATTGTAGCCATGTATTTTACAGTCTTTGTTGAATTTATTTAATTCGATCAATATTGATTAATTTATCGTAGGATAATTAATTAATTAATAGGATAATTGAGGGCAGGAGGGTTGTGGTCGAGTTACGACGTCAACCGAATTGAATTGTGCTGTGCTATAAGTTGTTGGCTGCATCGAATATATTATGGAGTATGGACGCAATACTTGTTAAAATGAATTCAGTACTAATATGGTCATATATGTTTACCCATTGAATGCGCAACATATTTGATCTATCATTTTTATACCGTCCGATTTGAATTGCTGACAGGGTTGTTAGAGAGCCCTCAGGGAATGAGGCTGGTTTAGTTTCTACGTTACGAATAGGACCAGCATCGCTCAGCTAGAATCACTACAAACAGTAAACTCTTATATAACAACTAACATTTTGAACTCCTAGAGATGAGATAACGTACTACTATGTTAATTTTAAAAATTAACTATCTTTATTTTTAGAATTATCTTTCCAACAGATCACGATCAATCTATATCCTACGTCAGAATGACTTCTGTCAGACGTTGATTTGCAACCCACCAGTTTCACTCGTTCAATCCCACAATTGTCGTCGATAAACGTAATTACTGCGGGATACAAAAGCTGTCGTCAGATTATAAAACCCACACTCACGTGACGTCACACTCTCCCTCACGTGACGTCACACTCACAGAACTACTATATTTCTCCTTTTTCTTTTCATTTCCGTGATAATATAAATCCGGACGACTTGTGTTTTAAACTTTTTGTTGATTTTATTGCAAAGGACACCCTTCTCTTCAACGTGGTCTTGGACTCTACTAGGTGGTAATCATAAAAGAAATAGGGCAAGCCACAATTATAAACACACCTACTCACTCGCATTTCTAAACTTTACTTCAATCAGAAAAGGCGCCAAGCAACCGATGTTTCAGTGTTATGTAGCAAACCATCCTGTCACACGCGTAGCAGTCAAATAAAATTTATTTTTAGCACGCTAAATGCTAAAAAACATAACTCACTGCGCGCCCTTTGTAGCTGACACGTCTGTTCACTCACAACTGTAGGGTCTCTACATTGTACAGCTGAAATACTGTTGCTTCCTCAGGATACTCACCTGTTGAAATTTAAGAGATCATTATCCAAACAATTTTAATTATAATGAAATTCACAGAATTTATCGCACTTATCACTCATCCCTTTCATATCTTGCGTTAAAACGTCATTGCTTATGATCTCTTGACATTGACTATTTGAACCTATTTAAGCTAGTCATGTGAGTGAAGAATTTGATATTATGAACGCGTCAACCTTGACGAATGTCCAGTATTTTGATTGCTTTGAGTTATGCGCACTTGGTTCGAAGAGCGTAAGACCACTGCAAATGAAATAATGACTATAGTCATTGACCACAAACTTCTAACATGATGCGGAAATAGGGATAATGATTTGACAGCTAATTAAATCTTTATTCAAATAAATCCGCCTTTTTAAATGGATAATATTTACGGCCGTGACACCACGCACGGTTATTATTATTATCCTCCTACTTCAGTGCTTCGTCCCCAATGGCAATAGACACTCCCGACACCCATCAATAAGATGATATTATGGACCATACTTAATACTTGAGTAGTACTTTCGTAGCCACACTGCCAAGTGCTATATAGTAACCACAACCTCAGTCCTCACACTCGTATCTTTATTATATCTAGTCGAGATGACTCTCCAGTCTCCAGTCTTCAGGCTCCAATCGTAAGCCACACTGCTGCCGTAATCGTGAGCCTGTTGTTATTTGTTGTTACTCCTAGCAAGCGTTATTTATAGTCTCTGACCTTTTATTTTACTGTACAATTATAACGGATATATGGTTCAGATGAGTTAAATGTTAAGTCATAGGTGTGAGTCATGTTATTGTTACCCTTTTAACCCTACTTTTAATTAATTAAGGAGTTTAAAATGTTTACGATAAATCACGTGATCTCATATAATAGTGTCACGTACGCGAGCTTTCAGTGTGCTACACTGAAAGCACACTGTGTAGCACACTAAAAGCTCGCGTTTCCTCCTAAACAGTAGTTTCACTTGTCCTACCTAGTCTCTACTACCGGATATTATCCCTGGAATCATTATCTTATCATCACTGATAAACAGCGAACCTCTCCAGGATCTCATAATATTCCTTTGTTTTGTATTCCTCGCCTGCTCGGAGAATCGATATTCATTACTCATTACTTTGACCTGTTGTATTACTTTTCAATATCCGTTCGGAAGTTTATTTAAATAAGCAAAGGAAAAATTAGGAAATATTGTTTATAATGAACACTTAATTGCCGCTGTAAAGTGTAAAAGTTCAATTCAATGCTTTTATTAATGTTTTTCAAGCTTTTGTTCACTTACTAATTTCACCACATATAACCTTACTAGTAAGTGTCACGTACAATGACGAGGTATCTGTTTGGTGTTGTGGCTGTATGTGTGATATCAGTTCTGATGTACAAGAATCTCTCTTCAAATTCCATCCGGGAACTACCACGAGGGACTGTGATTCTAATATGTGGAGCAAGCAGTGGTATTGGAGAGGAACTTGCATACCAGGCAGCTGAAAAGGGAGCTAACTTGGTTCTAGTTGCTCGATCAGAGGACAAACTTCTCAGAGTCCAAGAGCAGGCTCTCAAAAAAGGAGCAGCAGCAGTTGAGGTTATCTCTTATGACTTTTCTGATGTCACTGGGAGCAGTATTGTTGTTAACAAAACGGTGGAAAGGTTTGGAAAATTAGACTACCTAGTTCTGAATCATGTTGCTTTTCCATTAGGACCCTTCTTGGCTGCTAAGTACATGCAGGAACCTTCATACATAGAAAACATTTTCAGAGTTAACTTCTTCAGTTATATTGAGCTAACCCTTACCGCACTACCTTATTTGGAGAAGAATCTAGGACATATTTTTATAACTTCATCAGTTATGGGCGCGGTTCCGGTCAATTATGGTTGGTCATTATATGCCTCTTCTAAACATGCCCTTAACGGGTTTTTCTATAGCCTCCAGCAGGAACTGTTAGCTAAGAAATCCCCGGTATCAGTGACTATCGGAGCTCTGAGTCTCATCTGGACTCCAGACATGGAGAGCATTTGGAAAGATGAGTCTTTGCTGATTGACGTGGTCGCTGGTACCATCGAAAATGCTGCTGAAGGGATATTAGACTCGTACTCTTCCAGACCCCGAACGTGGACTTACCCAAGTTTGCTAATTACTTACAGATGGCCATGTGGAATTATAATCCTTGGTACCAGGAATTGGCGATCTATAATTACAATACAGACGGATACGAGGCAAATGTGGCAAAGTTCCAGCAGAAAGTTAAGATTACTCAACAAAGACGGTTTAGTACAGGCTATAACGATAATCACCGCCCTTAGTAATAACTGGATAAAGTCTGAAAAGAAGATTACCTGATAATATGACGATTCAATGAAGAAAATGTTAACCACACGACCACACTTATTTGGATATGTGAGTGTGTATCAAGTTAATACGCGTATAAGACGAGGATATCGGCGGATTAACAAGACAAACGGCCGGAAGGAAAGTGGACTGGAAGGATTGGTAGTTAAGTTGGTACGGAACTTTCCAGAATGGAAAGTTGGACAAAACACAAATTCGAATCTTTGGAATTATGTATCTTTAAGTTTATTTGATGTATGTTTTGTAATTTGTGTGCTTCGCATGTTTCAGTACCGATATTGATTTCTTTGATATCTTACTGTTCTTGCATAAAAATATTCTGTTCTCACAAAATATTAAAAAGTCATTATTATTTCTTTGCACGATTGATCGGTCAAAAAGTAAATGATATGGTTTAAATATAAATCCAATTTTTAGAACTTCTGGTACTACGAAAATGATGATGATAACAATAATTATCAAACCTTCAGTACCTTTCAATGATGGAACTAAAACACAAACTTTGTAAATTCTTAGTAGAAATATCAGAGACGACTAGCTAAATATTGACTTAATTAACCTAAGATATAACAAACTTAATTTTATTGTAAGAAATTAAACAAAACAACAGTAAACAAAAATCACTGACTTTTTTGAGTTTTTCAATCGTTTATGAAACGTTCACATATTACTTGAGCCATATTTTCGCCCTTTCAGACCCCAATTACTACCCAAATTGTAACCTAATAATTGTAAATCAAATCGTTTCTTCTAGAAACTAAACCAAAAAATAGACGGTTTTAGCGTAATGTCCTTCTGTAATCAGCTTCTTGGTGCCCGCTAGAGTTGCGTTGTAGTGCGACTCTCTGTGTCAATCCTCACAGTTGTGCTTTCTCCTGTGTCACCTGATAAAGGGACAGATTGATTTCAGTAGTCAACATGAAGAAATCACTCATTTCTCAGGTATACCATATTTATTATTGTGTTCGTTTAACTCAAGCAGGTATTTCTGGCTTAATAACTTCTGTGTGTTTAAGGATCCAAAATAAGGATGAGATATATGAGAATAATGGATGTAATTAATAAGCAATTACTGAATTACCTGTTGAGTTGCCAGATGTCAGGAGTGAAGATATGTCCGGCATCATTGACAGGAGATATCTTCTGAAGCTGGTGATTGTCAGAGTATAGATGAAGAAGTTAGACGTAATGTTGATCATCCCCTAGGAACATGCCATATCTTTGAAGATGGAAGTGGAATGGATCTTTTTCTCCTGGAACCTTTTTAATGAAGGATGCAGCAATCAAGTAGACCGTCAGAGGTAATGTCGAGATGCAATAGATGGTCGCTGTGAGGACTACAGTCAGAGCACCTTGCCATGGTACACTTCCTTTGGAGCGCCTGGCTGATTTCCTGGCAGCAACTAGGTACTTCAGAGTTGGAATCGTAGTGGTGATGATGAAAGCGTTTGGAACGAAGGCTGACATCAGGAATGCGACAGGTTGTATATTTTTCCAGACATCAGATGTCAAGCTGTACTCGCAGTTGTATGTTGTGTAGTCAAATTTCACATCATCTCTACCCAAAGCAAAAAGGAGAGCTGGGTAGACCAACCATGTAGCCCAGATGAAGCTGCAGACCAGATGAGCCCTATTTTTAGACAAGTTTGTTGCCCAAAGTGGTTTCTTTAGCAACAGACACTTGCCTGTGGTGAGAGCAGATATCAGGGACATGTTTGCCGGGTAGAAATAATAACTAAAGTAAGGCTTGGCAATGCACAGTGCGTATCCAAGGACCCAGGAATCAGCAATCAAGGAGACAGCGCCAGGTAGGATATGGGTTACCGATATAATAATGTCGCACACGGCAATGTGCTGCATTACTGTAACAAGAAACTTGTTCAGTTTGAAAGAGTCTTTCTTTGTCGTGGCCAAGAGAATCAGTGTGTCCCCGATGAGAGATGAAAGGACCACAAATAGCTGATATGATGCCCAGAAGTATCTTTCTCCACTTTCCATCCCAAATGTTTCATGGTTATTTAAGGTGGCCATGTTAAAGTGACTCAACTATAGAGATCTTGAAATGTTATTGAGACACGTTTCTAACTTGGATCTGATGTTTCTGGACAATTATCCTCAAATCTGGTGCAGCGATTTTTTTTATTTGACTCGGTTCTCGAATTATGAGGTTAACCATGTCAAAAATTCGGAAAATTTAATTGCTTAAAACCTCATAATTCGAGAAACGAGTCAAATAAAAAATCACTGCACCAGATATCTAGATAGTTGTCCAAGGAACTACTGTACCAAATCTCAATATCAGGGGGTGGCTGGTTTTCTCAACTAAGGAATTGAAAGCCACAAAAGTGTGTTTTGAGATAGATGCAATTAACTGTCACCAAGATGTAAATCAGATCGAACGAGAAATTAGATCGAACGAGAAATTAGATCGAACGAGAAATTAGATCGAACGGCGTCTCAATTCGATCTGATTTACATCTTGGTGACAGTAACTGTGACAGTAACTGTGACCAAGATGTAAATCAGATCGAATTGAGACGCCGTTCGATCTAATTTCTCGTTCGATCTAATTCCTCGTTCGATCTAATTTCTCGTTCGATCTGATTTACATCTTGGTGACAGTTAGTGTTTTAAAAATTGGCCATTTTGAGGTTAACATGCAATTGACTGGTCAGATATTCAAAAAATGAGAGGTTAACCTCATTTTTTAGCCATTTACGGGTAAAATCTTCTACTTAAATATGGTCAGTTCAAATCACCTTTGTCACGTGATCATAGTTCTAGGCATTGTGATACCAATAGATACCTCACTGCGATATTGTGGTACATTACAAAAGTAAGAATCGTATGTATATTCTTACGGTACCAAAATTTGATGGTTAACCTCATTTTTCCACTTTCCCAAGATAAAAGAAAGTCAATCTAATTGTCATCTATTTAGAAATGTGTATACCGTAAACTTACGAAGAAAATAATAACTCTATCATTTGATCTATTCTCGCTATATCTTAAAAAAGAGGTTAACCTCATTTAATCACGTTTGGATATTACTTTTTCTGTCAATTATGAACCTGAAATTTAGAGGTTACATTTGCTGACCAAAATAACAAAAAATTATGGAGTGTAATAAAATATTAACCTCAATTTTATTAACCTCAATGTTGTATAGGCAATTTTGTGACAATCGGTTAACCTCAATTATTAAAAAAAGTTAAGCAGCTACAAACATGTGAATAGCAGCAATGTTTTTGTCATCAAAAATTAAATTGATTTAGAAAATAATATTTTGGTCGATATTTTTGACCCCTTACCCCCTCCCCTCTGGCCTTAATTAAGGTAAGGAGTTTGTTAGCACTGTTGTAAGTGGGCAAGTTCTAGGTGGAGAAGTAGTGTTTAAGTAGCTGCATCATGCAGGATGAATGATGATCCTAGCTCTAGACAGTAGATGAGTTTACATCTTCAGTCTCAGCGCTCCCAACATAATTCAAATCCAAGATACTACAAATACTCAAAGGTATTATATATATAAAGAAATCATGAATTCTCGGTTGGCAATATCACTGGGCATTCATATTGGAAAATTGTAACCTTGCAAAGTTTTATTATGTATGATATGGGATAAAATAACGTACACATAGTTTACATAAAGTATGCATAGTTTACAAGCAACGATAAGTTGATTGAACAGTCAAACCTTGGCCCACGGTCACTGCAGGCCCTAAACCTTATTGGGGCACAAGTTGTTCCCACGGAATTATTACCAGCTGTTAAATTAATAATGGTGTTAGGCGTATTTAAACAGAATGCTATGTCAGCAACTTGGTTGATCAGTGTATTAAATTTCCAGAATATTATACATTTTGATAATATGTAAATACAATAACGTTAGATAAAATTTGATTTAAATTAAAATGTATTTTACCACGTCATAATTTTAAACTCTTAAATTTCAGAGAGTGCAGGATACCGTGCTGAACAAGAAGTACATAAGCTCTGTCCGGGCATACTGAGCCACGCGCACGACATTGTTTTCTGGTAATTCAGAAGGAAAATGTGAGCCAAATTATTTATTGTCACAGGCGAGAGATTACGGGAAAATAATTTATGATTTATTCAGATTAGACATTTGACCAAAGATTTTAAAGCAGTTCACCCGCAATGTGCCAATTTCGTTTTGAGAAATGGATGATGTTTACTCACTATTTATAATTAATAATTATAAATCAATTCGCTTTTTATCGACAGCATCGTATTGTTTAGTTAGGATTTTGTAAAGAAACTAGCTAAAGTGTTCTACATGTTATGCAGTTAAAGCTGTAGTGTTAGATAGACGTAGCGCTAGTTAAGATTGAAGATCTGTTTATTAAACTAGAGCTAGTTGACAACATGACTCTCCTATTAACCAATTAACTAATTAAGTAATTAAGATTATACACCATGACCAGTCTTAACAAATATTTACACACAGTTATATGTCGCATGATGTTCAGCTACTATCAGATACTTATTCATGAGAATATGAAGTGATTTTGTAAATATATTATCACATGTATTACGAACTGTTCGATCAAGTTTTTTGTTTTATTTTGATGGGAAAGAGAATTTCAATAAATGTTTCTTGGAAAGTTTCGTCTATTTAATATCACATGCCTCTTGGAATTCTTGTTTCATTCCCTCCAATTATAATATTACCTATGGTGATAATTACAATTCGATGATTTAACATTATCTTAAAGGCAAGACATATTCAAATGGCAAAATCAACTAAACCTTCAAACAAACTCTCGGACAGACTCAACCCCAAAACCGTCAACCAGGTGAGTATAGGAGGGCAAAATATTTATAATCCTGTATTGCGGACATTGACTTTCTGTGGATGATTAATTTTCTACTTGGAGTAATCAATTAGAGTTAATTAGTAACTTAAAATAGAAAGGTAATCTAGAATCTTGTTTGTATAAGTGACGTAATATTAATAACAAATAAGTGACGTAATGTAGAATGTTCTTTGTATTAAGTGACGTAATGTAGAATGTTGTTTGTATAAGTGACGTAATATTAATAACAAATAAGTTACTTAATGTAGAATGTTCTTTGTAAATGTGATGTAATCCAGAATGTTGTTTGTACAAGTAACGTAATGTAGATTGCTGTTTGTATAAGTGACGTTAATAACACGTAGGTTTACAGTTTGGAAAGAGTCAGTCCTCGTTTGGTCAGCTGTACAATAACGGAGCTATCCCATGTAAACTGTCTCATGGTAGTGTAAACCACAGACTCGTATGGAACGAGAGTCCCGAGTCCTTATCATATGACCCGCTACTAGTCCACTTTGCAGAGGTCAGTTCTGATCCTACTGTTATTGCAATCTTAATTCTTAACACTTTATTATGTTACTTGAAAATCGAATACCAAATAATTTGGTCCAAGTAAGGCGTCCATTACCATATTTTATAATTCGTTTCGGTTTAACTTATTGACTAAGAATAATTATAAGTATAATAACAATGTGACTTTGCAGGGTTTGGTAGAGACACAGCACCCGTACACCTTCATCACAAAAGCAGCGTTTATCGAGTTGTGTGAAATACCAGGCTCAGTGGACAAAGTTCTCCCCCTGCTCACTCGTCTCATTCCGCATATAAAACTAGCTCTGGTTTGCCACAATTTAAAGAGAAATAGTCACTTTATCATTATGATTTATTGGTGCATTATAAAATTTGAACGTGATATGAAATTCAGTATTCTATTGATTTTCTGCTTTTTATCATTTTTGATTATTTAGTTTCTTTACAGATGTCTAAAGATAAAGAAGTTGTGAAAGGTGCTTTTGAAGCTGTGCAGGCGTTATCCAACTCAATTAAATCACACCTTAATCCTCATCTCAAACTTATTCTTGCACCGGTGGGTTTAGTTATATAGGGAGAATATTATGGGGTCGTTCACATATTACGTAATCAATATTTTATCAGTTTTTACCCCCTCCCCCGTAATCAACCGTAATCAACGACCAAACCCTCCCCCCCCCCCCCCCCCCCCCCCCCCCCGTTATCAACTGTAAGCATTTGGAAACCACCCCCCCCCCCCCCCCTCGGCTGATTACGTAATATGCGAACGACCCCATATGACAGCTTTGAAATAGAAAGTCTGATATATTTTGTTAGAACTATGCAATATACATATTACATATGACTAGGATTTGAAACTTTAGAAAACCACTGAATACAGTAACTAAGTTCGGTATTCTAGATGACCGTAACATTATTAAAGAACTCCCCTGATATCTTTTGATTTATTGAAACACGGGTACTAACTCTGCTAAACTGAACAAATTCTGAAACTTAGGTGAATAAGTGTACAACGTGCTAAACCGAAGTTCAGACTGACCAGTGAAAATGGGCGAGCGTACCAAGTGTCATTTTAATTAGAAGTTTTAGTCAGTGATTTATTATTGAAGCATGTAATTACAATATCTAATGCTCCTATAAATACTTTAATTAATTGTTTGTCCCGTTATTCTTTTTCCTTCCTCTTTTCCTTGTCATCCCCTTTAGTTTTAAGATTCTTGCTATAAATGGCTACAGCTAACACTATTAATGCTAAGTACCAAACAACAAGTGGGAGGTGGATCGTTGGTACCATTAAATCGATTTAACACCGCAATTCCAGTCGCAAGCCTGGGACCACTACTAGCATAGTCACAACATCTACAAAGCTGCCATATAGCCTGACTGACAATTTTCTCGACTGACTGACAATGTTTCTTCTTTTTCCCCATTTAGAATACAAAGATTAGTACATTTTAGCTTATGATTAATATTATATTTTTACCTATAGTTTACTTAGATTATGATAATTTAAAATCATCCTATTGATTTTAATGCAGAAAAGTCTGTTCATAATAATGAGTGAAGAATTTGCGTTTTCCGTTGTTGGGTTTTCTTTGAGAATTGTCATGGGAGCACATATTTACTGTCAATTAAAATCAGAGAATCTTAACAAGTTTCTCCTTTATGAGGACGTGCCGGCACAATGTCTTGTGATGAATGTCAATTTTATCGTAAGGAAAGTGGAAAACAGTAGGTTTGTCGCATCCTTTTGGTAGCACTTCAAAGAATGCATCTATCAAATCTCCTGATTGACGTTTGTGTTTAGAAATATAAGCAGTTAATCAGCGATTCGTTTCCTTTAACGGTTTAAAATAAATGAAATCTAGTTTTTAAAAACATATTAGAGGTTTCTTTATAGTTTTACAATAGAACGCTTTTACTTACCAGAGTGAAAGTAGTTGATAGCAATCATGATTCTCTTTCTTTGGCCGATTGTGATCCCCATCGATCTCAACATTTTTTCGTTCAAAACGCTCAACTGAGAAAACCTGGCGAAAGTTGATCTTCAATCTATGTATGAAGATGATTAACAGTTGCTTTACCAGAAATTGTCTCCACAAAAAGATGTTTGATATAACTTTGAACTCCAGTTGCAAAGCCATGAATACCTGCAACCTGGGGACCCCAGGCTATATTGTTCATAAACAAATTGAAGCTGCGACGGAATAACAGCATGAGCATGAATATAGTATCTGACCATGAATACGGACTAAAATATATACTGTCACCTTGTCAATCCACTCTGAAGCAGACTGAAAATTGCTCCTCGAGATATCGCAAAATCTTCTGCCCAGGAGAAAATCCAGTTTCCTGGGTCTTCAATCTCAAAGTCAAACCAAGCCTCGTCGCTACACGTCATAACGCACAGGTTGAACTGGACAGCTGTGTTCAGCTGCTGCCCAACTTATATAGGGGATCACAGATCCAATCACTAACAGGTCAGCCACCAAACTGATTGATTGAGGGGCTGATTAATGAAAATGTTATGAGAACATGTCCTGCCCCTTATTTCTAGTGGCTGAGACTGTACCTCTCCGTCCTTACTAAAATGTTTTGATCAGTGAAGTACTGGCCAGGTTACCGTTGAACCCATCGACCATTGATATGAAGTTTTACTCTTATTATTTTCAGTTCGCGAAGTGGAGTAACAATGCCGCCACGAGAGATTTGGTGTTGTCGACACTGCATATATTGGAAGAGCATGGGCACAAGGTGAGTTTTCCAAGAAGAAATTCATTCTAGCACTTTATTTTTGGCAGCTGTCACATTTTTTACATTATTGTCGGTCGATTAAGTATGATCCTTATTTTTGAATTTTGCACCAACAATTTCATCAAACTATACCGGGTATGTAATTTTAATATCGTTGTATATCGGTTGTTACCTTAGGGGTCATTCATAAACGAAAACTCAGACTCAAATTGTGAGATAATCTTAGATTTTGAGATCAAATTCGCTTTTGGTATTCGTAAAGTTAAGTATTTGCGGTCTGAGTATTTTGTCGCTAGTAAATGCTCAGAGTTGGAACTAGCACTCAAATCGGTATTCATAAAGTTAGTATTTACTCGTCACCCAAAACTAACTCAAGATTGGTATTCATAAAGTTAGAAAATGATCAAAACTCATGCTCAAAATGTGAGAACCGAATTCACATTCTCAAATCATTTTCTCACCTATTGCTCAACGACTTTTAACGTCAATAACTTCCCTTCTAATTGATATTTTCACTTCAAATTTTCAGGGACGACTCCTCACTGCCAGTACAAAAGCTCTAATATATTTTGTCCCGATTGGATGACGTTTTTGCAAATTTTCCCAGAAAATTAAACACGTTAGAGTATAAGCTTCCTTGTAAGTCCAATATAGATGCGACCATTACGGTTGGATTAAATTAAGTTTCAAATTCAATGCTCATTACACACTCCGAGACTTTATATTGTTTTATCTGATTTGCACGATTCGAGTTCATACTGACTGTACTGTTTAATAGAGTAATAGATAGTATTTTGTGAAAGTAAAATGAAATGTGATATATTTCATAAACATTGTAAACAACTCTGAACATTTAAGGTATACAAAATTGATAAAAAAATAAACAAACGCATGTTTGTTTAAAAAACATCTCAGTTATCTAATTTAGAACTAATCTTCATTAAAAGTGATTCCATAGACTCAACTTTCTGCTGTAGACTGTTAACGGTGTCTCCCTTATACTGATAGTATTGCATTTTGAATTGAATGTAGTTGTTCCGCATATCTTTTTCAGATATTTTTGCTTGATAATAATTCAGTTGTGCGTGTAATACTTGCATTCTCAGGTTGTCCTCAGTTTTTCTTCTTTTCGAAGCGGAAGAGGTTGCTGGTGGTGGCGCTGGCCTTTTGGCTATGTTACTTGTAGTAGACATCTCACTGGCGCTGACAACAGATATATCGTCTCCGTCCACAGATCTGTCTAGCTCTAGTAAATCATCCATGTATGACTTAGGGGGTGGTATATATGAGGCGGCACCAGCTACAACACCAAAATCTAACCGCTGGACAAGAGGGTCCGGAGTTATCTCAGGATTTAGATTTCCTAACAAAAAATCTAAAAACTTCTTCTCATCAGCGTTCAAATCTGGATCTACATTTCCTGTCGATTTGTCAGTTTTCTCCAGTAGCCTTGATTTTTTATTGGAAAAAGATCTCGCTACTTGATCTTCGGTGGTCACAATATTGAGTTCTTGAGCTATTTCTCTAGAAATGTCCATTCTCGCTTGTTTTTTCTGACGATTTATCTCTTGGGTTTTTTGTTTAGCTATGAGTATGGGATGTTTGGTGAAAAAGTTTACCCATTGCCCATATCTAATGTTACTTGATTTCTCCGACCCAGCATCAGTTGACATAGTCATAGCGTCAGCAGGAACCTTATATATCTAAAAATTGCTAGATTAGTCAAAATCGAATTAAACATATAATATCATTATAATTAGAAATTTTGATAACAGTACGATAAAAGCTTGCGAGTTCCTGTTATTGTTAACGTAGTTATTGACTATTCAGGCTATTTAACAGGATCAGAAAATAAAACAGTTTCAGAAAATAGAATAGTTTCAGAAAAAAGAATAGTTTCAAAAATAAAATAGTTTCAGAATAAAACAGATAATTCAGAATTTCAATCTAGCGGCGAGCACTATTGATAATGGAGCATATCATGGCCCGTTTTTCCTGTCCATTTACTCGGCCTCCCCCATCCGCAGAACTATCAGGATGTGGATCATATGAATCGGGGTCATTATCATTATTATCCGTTTCATCATCCTCCCAGTCATCCCCCAGGTATTTCCCTACATTGTGCAGCACACAGCATGCTATAATAAACTTCGGAACCATTTCAATACTCACACGGTTAGGGACACGCAACATTTGAAAACGAGACTTTACTTGCCCAAAACTGTGTTCTATTGTCGATCTATCCGAAGTTAAAACATCGTTGAATGCCTTTTTTGCGGGATCAGTAGCAGTTTGTGCTGCGGGAAATGGTTTCATGAGAAAAGGACTTAGTGTATACGCACTGTCACCGATAAGCAAACACCTCCCACTAACACCTGTTGATAAAGTCCGATAGGCTGCTGAGTTTCTCCATATTCGAGCGTCATGAACTTTACCAGGCCAAGAAGCATCAACATCCAAGAATTTGTTGTCAGCATCGCAAATCGCCTGAACGTTAAAGCAGTGAAACTTTTTCCTACCAGAGTAGTAATGTTGAGGGTTGTGTCGTCGAGGTGGGACTTGAACCTTAATCAAGCAGCCGTCTACGGCCCCAAAGCAGTATGGGAAACGTTTTTTCGCCGCCCAGAATTGAGCCGCTTGATTGAAGTCCTGAGTTGTTGTCGGGAAAATAATCCAAACATCACGTTTTGCCACAATTCTTTCTATTACATACTTCACAGTCCGTGAAACAGTAGGTTGGGAGACGCCGACTATTTCGGAAACCCCATTTTGGAAACCCGGGTCTGAAAAATATCGGAGACAAATCTCCATTTTCTGTTTATTTGTCAAGGCGCCTCCTCGCGTTTCACCGGAATCAGGTCCCAAAAAATGCCTGGCCATCCAGTCAACGGACGGTTCTTCAAAGCGGAACTGGGTTTTGTAGTAAAAGTCCGTTTGGGGCTGACGTCGGGTCTTGAATGTTCTAGTCGAATGTGGGGCCGGTGGTAAAAGAGGAAGTGCCATAGAGCTCAGACTTAACACAAGCTGAGTTCAAACTTCGTCAATTAATCAATAACAAAATTAATCAATAACAAAAGACACAATCATGTCGAAAACATGCCACGAACATGATCATACAAAAGTTCAGCTTACATTTCTATCACTGTCGGTATTGGGTTAGAATAATCTGCTAGGTAATTATTGAACATCGATATGTATTTAATAAAGTTTGAGAAATTGACGGCAAACCACAGTAAAACTACGGTGGGTTTCGGGAAACTACCGTGGATAAAAGAAAACTACAGTAAATCACGGTAAACCACTGTAAAAGGGACGTGAAATTACCTGTAGGGGACACAATATCGCACACGAAACATTCATTATAGATATCAAGTCTTATCTTCGGAGTCAAGGGTGTTGTCATTTTGCCGCCATTTCAAGATTGCGATATCACAAATTCCATCACAGACATATGCGGTACGTGATGTGCGAATGTCGAATGTACTCGACACAAATTTCCCTCGAAAATGTTTATTTCACATTCCTTCGATACATCGATGTACATCCGAATTTGGGTGTTTTCCCATTAACATAAGATGGCAAACAAAAGATCTGAATTAACCTGTCGTGCTTCTTAAAATACTGATTTGAGTATTTGAGTGCTAGTTTGAGAGCATTTTAGTGAGTATTTACTTGAATGTAAGTCATACTCACGATGAATTCAGCTTGAGTATTAGTTTTTACTGGGCAGTAAATGCTCAAACTTTGTGAATACCGATTTTGTGACTCAGAAAAATCTAAGTAATTACTAGCGAGTATTTACTTAAAGGGGTCATTCATAATAACTAAGTATTTCTTAAGTAAATACTCGCTAGTAATTACTTAGATTTTTCTGAGTCACAAAATCGGTATTCACAAAGTTTGAGCATTTACTGCCCAGTAAAAACTAATACTCAAGCTGAATTCATCGTGAGTATGACTTACATTCAAGTAAATACTCACTAAAATGCTCTCAAACTAGCACTCAAATACTCAAATCAGTATTTTAAGAAGCACGACAGGTTAATTCAGGTCTTTTGTTTGCCATCTTATGTTAATGGGAAAACACCCAAATTCGGATGTACATCGATGTATCGAAGGAATGTGAAATAAACATTTTCGAGGGAAATTTGTGTCGAGTACATTCGACATTCGCACATCACGTACCGCATATGTCTGTGATGGAATTTGTGATATCGCAATCTTGAAATGGCGGCAAAATTACAACACCCTTGACTCCGAAGATAATTCAGAATCATTCTTGATATCTATAATGATTGTTTCGTGTGCGATATTGTGTCCCCTACAGGTAATTTCACGTCCCTTTTACAGTGGTTTACCGTGATTAACTGTAGTTTTCTTTTATCCACTATAGTTTCCCGAAACCCACCGTAGTTTTACTGTGGTTTGCCGTCAATTTCTCAAACTTTATTAAATACATATCGATGTTCAATAATTACCTAGCAGATTATTCTAACCCAATACCGACAGTGATAGAAAGGTAAGCTGAACTTTTGTATGATCATGTTCGTGGCATGTTTTCGACATGATTGTGTCTTTTGTTATTGATTAATTTTGTTATTGATTAACTGACGAAGTTTGAACTCAGCTTGTGTTAAGTCTGAGCTCTATGGAACTTCCTCTTTTACCACCGGCCCCACATTCGACTAGAACATTCAAGACCCGACGTCAGCCCCAAACGGACTTTTACTACAAAACCCAGTTCCGCTTTGAAGAACCGTCCGTTGACTGGATGGCCAGGCATTTTTTGGAGGCGCCTTGACAAATAAACATCAACAAATAAATATCAATATATACTCAGAATGTTACATCGGTTTTCAGCTTGATGCGGACGGTAAGCTCAATTATATGTTAACTATCAATGGTGGTTGGAAATTGCATTTCATATTAGCAATTAGCAGTGTACGTTTGTTTTCACTGTTCAACCTATTACAATCATCTCGGTACGCAATTTTTATCGC